ACGCATCTGCATCTTGAGTCTTTATTGAGGATAGATGTAGATGTCTATGGGTCACAGTAACCACTTACTATCAGGTGGACTGTGTGCTCGTTTGTCACCCGATCCTATAAAAAAAATAGTTATAGCACGAATGGGTCGGCTCGAGTGGGGAAGGACCACGCTCTCACAGAATACCAGCGTAAAATAGCAGCATAACACTGCTGTGTTTCGTATGGTGAGAATAGGGTACCGGAGACCCTTATTATTGGAAAAGAGGCATTCCATCTTAGTCCTCACGGGTGACAACGCATCTGCATTTTGATTCACAAACGAGCATAAATGAAGATGTCTATGGGTCACAGCAACCACTTACCATCAGGTGGACTGTGTGCTCGTTTGTCACCCTATCCTATACAAAAAAGCCTCTACAATTTCTTATATTTATGGCCAGGTATTCCAACATGTGTAGGAGTCAAATTAAAAAGTTTGCGAAGCTCAGCTTATGCCATTGTTTTATTATTATTTTATTCTCATAGCGAGTGCACGGTGATTATAACGTTCATCAAATATCTATGTTGGTGAGTTTAATCATTTTTACTATTTAGAAAATCAGTCGTGATTAACTTTAATTTGTTTTTTTTTTTGGACTTCATACTTATTTTGTTTATTGCAGATCATGACCAATACTAAGGAAAACATTGATTCTAATCCTATCACTAGTCCGTATTACTGTGCTCAGGATGTGGATAAATTTATACTAAATTATTACAAGAAAGAGGAGCGGCTTCATGATTTACAACCAAATAGAATAGCTACTAATAAAGAGCAGCAATCAAAATCACAGAAATATCTCAGGAAGAGAAGTCGTTCTCATAAATCATCATCATCATCATATATTATCCGCCAAGATAAAAATAAGCGAGGCTGCCGTCCAATTAAAATCTATATTTGCGAACTTAATGAACAAAAACAAAATGTCATCAATTAACTTAGTTTTTTTTATAGGATAGGGTGACAAACGAGCACACAGTCCACCTGATGGTAAGTGGTAGCTGTGGCCCATAGACATCTACATCTATCCTCGTTTGCGAATCAAAATGCAGATGCGTTGTCACCCGTGAGGACTAAGGTGGAATGCCTCTTTTCCAGTAAAAAGGGCCCTACTTAGTGCTAATATAAGTGTTCAATATGTCGTGGATTCAATGTATGATGAAATGTCAGATGCTACAATTTGTCTTATAAAAAATAAATGAAAATTATGTGAGAACTAGTAATTTAAGTAATGTACCTTATAAAATATAACAAAAGTTATTATACATTGAATTTTATTGTTAGTTCATTATGTATCATCACCATTATTCAATTTTGTAGACCGAAAAAAAGTGAAAGACATTTATTGTTCCAACGAATATATTTATTAAAACTAAATATAAAGTTATAAACATGATAATACACGTTACTTAATCTATACATTTATCTCTTATCTATACCGTACTTAGTAGTAGCATTATATAGTTTTACATTCAAATTCATTAAAATACAATTTTATAGTGTCCCCATGGTAAATTATTTAGTCTGAGAGCTGGCGATGAATTTTGGGAAGGTCCTTTTGGCAAGTTGAAGTTGTGAAAAAATATAATTTCGTTAATTGGCGAATCCAGTCCCGCGAGTCTGGCAGAGCGTTAGCGGTTATTTTGTTACTGAGCAACATATAACATTTGCAAAAAAAAAAATACCAAAAAAAATGTTTTCTCTGTCCAGTAGATAGTAGTAAAGAGAGGTGAGTTAGAGACATTTATTTGTTCATTCAGCAGTGCAACGTACTATTATTACTTTTTAATATCTCTAACTGTTCTAGCACACACAGTCTCAGCCCCTTATTACACGTATATAAGACTTTAAAGGAGTGATCACTGTGAAAAAAGTTACGGCTGTAGAGAACGTGCAACTTGTTATTTTTTCCACCTTCATCTCTGGACGGTGAGCACTCTATACAAATTATCTTTTTTCAGAACATGGGGCGGTAACTGTAAAAACATATTTTTGCCAAATTTACTATAAATACGAGGTTAAAATTAATAGCTATTATACAAATTATTACACCACTGATCTAAAATAATTCAAACTCTATATATAGATAATTGCATGGTCATACATACATGTTAAACCTCAAAACAAGAATTTAATGTTAAAATCTTTAAAAAAGATATTTCTTAATAACCAATCACAGTGCCGTGTAGTGGCGGTCAAGAATATCCACTACCCCATATCCTCCCGTGGGTGTCGTAAAAGGCGACAAAGGGAAACAGGCAGAAGATGGGCAGCAGCATCTTCCTGATAATAGCCAAAATTATAATAAAAAAACTGCGGTTGCCAACCCGCTCGCCAAGCGTGGCAACTATGGCAAATACCCCCCAATGATGAGAGCAACATAAAAACGGCCCCCAGTCCCCGGCGGCCCCGCTATTCCTGGCTACGGTGGCGACCATGGTAACGGCGGGGCAGGGGGTGCTAAGAATCTCCGGTGGAGGTTCGGTTGCCACCTTAGACGACTCGACCTGGCAACGTACAACGCACGCACCCTGAGGACTGACGAGAAGATCGTAGAGCTGGAAGAAGAGATAGACAAGTTGCGCTGGCATATTATAGGATTATCCGAAGTCCGAAGAGAGGGGGAGGACACGGTAATCCTCGAATCCGGCAACTTGCTCTATCACCGGGAGGGCGACCATCTGTCCCAAGGAGGTGTCGGATTTATCGTCCACAAGTCTCTCGTTAACAACGTTGTAAAGATCGGGAGTGTGTCGACGAGGGTTGCGTACCTTATACTCAGAATCACCAAACGGTATTCGCTGAAGGTCATACAGGTTTACGCACCAACCTCGGCACACCCCGATCAGAAGGTGGAGGAAATGTATGAGGATATCTCTAGAGCCATGCATTCCTCCAAAACCCAATATACGGTGTTAATGGGAGACTTCAATGCAAAACTAGGCACAAGAGAGAACGGTGAGCTGAAAGTAGGGAAATTTGGAATAGGGCAACGGAACCCAAGGGGCCAGCAGCTGGCCGACTTCATGGAGAAAGAGGGACTCTTTATGATGAACTCTTTCTTCCAGAAGCGGCCCCACAGGAAGTGGACCTGGTCGAGCCCCGACGGTTTGACAAAAAATGAGATTGACTTCATTATGACGACCAGACGACAACTGTTCAGTGATGTCTCCGTGATCGCAAGGGTGAAAACTGGTAGCGATCACCGAATGGTTAGAGGCACACTGAACCTAAACGTTAAGTTGGAGAGGTCTCGTCTAATGAAGTCAACGCTCCGTCCCCCTCGTGCTCTAATCCGAAGTCCCGAAACCTTTCAGCTCGAGTTACAAAACCGTTTTCAGTGCCTAGAAGACTGCAATGAAGTGGACGATATGAATGACAAGCTCGTGGAAACTGTCCATGCGGTCGGAGCTAAGTTCTGCAAGACCCGCCGCAGAAGAACACAAAAACTCTCCGATCACACTCTTAATCTCATGGCTGTTAGATGGGAGATGAAGCTACATTCTTCAACAGACTTGACAGCATACAGGCATCTGAACAGACAGATCTCAAAATGCATGCGGCGGGACTTAAGCAACTTCAATACAGCTCGTATTGAAGAAGCGATCGAGCGGAACCAAGGCTCCAAAGTCTTTGCCAGAGATCTGTCTGCCAGAAAGCGCCAACTGTCAAAGCTGAAGACAGAATGTGGCAGCATCGTTTCCGGCACACCTGAGATTTTGAGTGAGATTGAGAGGTTCTATGGGCAGTTGTACACGTCATCGTTGGAGCCACACGCAAGTGTGAGTAACGATCCAAGAGCGAGTCTCATCCGACACTATTCCGAAGATATCCCGGACGTCAGTCTGAGCGAGATTAGAATGGCTCTCCAGCACCTTAAAAACGGTAAGGCCCCAGGCGAGGATGGAATTACAGCGGAGCTTCTGAAAGCGGGTGGAAGACCGGTACTTGAAGTCCTTCAGAAGCTCTTTAATTCCGTCCTCCATGGTGGCATTACACCGGAGGCGTGGAGCAGAAGTGCGGTGGTCTTGTTCTTCAAGAAAGGTGACAACGCTCTCTTGAAGAACTACAGACCGATTTTCCTTCTGAGCCGCGTCTACGTGCTGTTTCCGAGAGTCATTACGAATCGTCTCGCGCGCAGACTTGACGACTTCCAGCCTCCCGAACAAGCCGGTTTCCGAAAGGGCTTTAGCACCATAGACCACATACATACCCTTCGGCAAGTTGTACAGAAGTCCGAAGAGTACACTTTGCCACTATGTCTGGCGTATGTGGACTATGAGAAAGCCTTTGATTCCGTCGAAATTTGGGCGGTGCTGCAGTCCCTTCAGCGGTGCCAAGTTGACTGTCGGTATATCGAAGTGTTGAAGTGCTTGTACAGTAGGGCTACGATGGCTATCCGAGTACAGAACCAGAGTACGAAACCTATCCAATTGCAGAGAGGTGTAAGACAGGGTGACGTCATATCCCCGAAACTCTTCACCGCTGCATTGGAAGACGTTTTCAAGCTTCTGGACTGGAAAGGGTACGGTATCAACATCAATGGCGAGTACATCACTCACCTTCGATTTGCCGACGATATAGTCCTTATGGCAGAATCGCTGGAGGGCCTAAGCACTATGCTCAATGACCTCAATAGTGTTTCCCAACGGATAGGTCTTAAGATGAACATGGACAAAACAAAGATTATGTTTAATGTCCATGTCACACCTATGCCGGTAGTTGTTGGGAGCACTAAGCTCGAAGTTGTTGACGAGTATGTTTACCTGGGACAAATAGTCCGACTAGGTAAGTCCAACTTCGACCGAGAGGTCAATCGACGGATTCAACTCGGCTGGGCAGCGTTCGGGAAGCTACGACACATCTTCTCGTCAGACATACCTCAAAACCTTAAAACGAAATTGTACAACCAGTGCGTGTTGCCAGTGATGACTTACGCAACTGAGACGTGGTCTTTCACTGCTGGCCGTATGAGGAAGCTCAAGGTCGCTCAGCGAGCTATGGAGAGGGCTATGCTCGGGGTTTCTCTGCGTGATAAACTTAGGAATGAGGATATCCGCAGTAGAACCAGAATAACCGACATAGCCCAACGAATTAGTAAGCTGAAGTGGCAGTGGGCCGGCCATATAGCTCGAAGAACCGACAACCGATGGGGAAGAAAGGTTCTCGAGTGGCAGCCTCGTACCGGTAGGCGAAGTGTAGGGCGTCCCCCCACGAGATGGAGTGACGACCTGGTAAGACATGCAGGAAGTCGATGGATGCAGGTGGCTCAGGACCGTGCTTTGTGGCATTCTTTGGGGGAGGCCTATGTTCAGCAGTGGACTTGTGAAGGGCTGTAATGATGATGATGATGATGAATCACAGTGAGAGTAGCTTAGGCCCCCATCCGCTGTCGTCATGCTTCGATAAGTTATCTTTCTCGCACTTATAGCTACGCATAAGACTTTTTTGTCGTATTCATTTGTAAGCTACTCGTACTCGTAGAGAGAGAAATATTGACAGAAGATCAAAGGAACTGATTATGGGTAAGGGAAAGATACTTGAAACGGTCTTTTAAATAATGAGGAGTGGAAGAATTAAACAGCACGCCATACAAAGCGGAGAGAATGTGAATATTCCTGCGAAGGCGGTTCGTGAGCCATTTGAGCTATTTGCGAAACAAATCACGAGGTGGACGTCAGCATCAATCTAATAAATACTAAAAATAAACCTAGCAAGCTAACAGCATAGCAAAGTGGCGAAGCAATCAGCTTTGTAGCGGTTTCTAACGGTTGTCGTTGAGCAATCAGTTTCAAAATAGGAGGTTCAGATGCCTGGGTGATCAGTAATCGATTGCTGAAAACAGAATTTGAAAATTCAAAACCGTTCTCGAGATAATCGTCGGATAGACGGACAGACGGACAGACGGACAGACGAACAGACGGACAGACGGACAGACATCGTGAAATCAATAAGTGACTTCGCAAGCTTACTTAATAAGGGGTTGGCGACTAAGGGAAATATCTCCAAATTGCGAATTAAGTCATTATGCTACTCAATAGAAGCAAATGTCTGATGATGAAATCTGCTTCTACTCAATAGAATCAGATGTGTGATGATGACATATGCTTCTATTGAGATGGCAAAACTTACGAGCTAACTTTATTCTATGGCTAAGGATACTCCAGGCATGGAATAATTACTGATTATAGCTGTCCTTTTAAATAGTTATTTAACATTATGCCCAAATTTTTGCCCGTGTCATCACAATATAATAATAAATAATTTAAATGTATATTCTTTGTCACGGCACTATCATAGAATGTAGGTAAATGTAATGAGTAGATTAGCTTTGACTTACAAAAAATAACTCGTTTCTTATTTTTATATATAAATTCAATTATTAACATTTACAAATTGTTCTTATTGTTAAAGGTAATTAGAGAATTCCCAAAAAAGGGGTTGCTGTCAATTTGCATTTTTCCTTTGGCAGAGGATACTTTTGGGGATACCAAAAAAAGCATGATTAGAGTGGAATGGAGATTAAGCTTTATATTTAATTATACAAGTACTATTCCCTTCTGGTGGTCTTGTTCTTCAAGAAAGGTGACAACGCTCTCTTGAAGAACCACAGACCGATTTCCCTTCTGAGCCGCGTCTACGTGCTCTTTTCGAGAGTCATTACGAATCGTCTCGCGCGCAGACTTGACGACTTCCAGCCTCCCGAACAAGCCGGTTTCTGAAAGGGCTTTAGCACCATAGACCACTTACATACCCTTCGGCAAATTGTACAGAAGTCCGAAGAGTACAATTTGCCACTATGTCTGGCGTATGTGGACTATGAGAAAGCCTTTGATTCTGTCGAAATTTGGGCGGTGCTGCAGTCCCTTCAGCGGTGCCAAGTTGACTGTCGGTATATCGACGTATTGAAGTGTTTGTACAGTAGAGCTACGATGGATATCCGAGTACAGAACCAGAGTACAAAACCTATCCAATTGCAGAGAGGTGTAAGACAGGGTGACATCATATCCCCGAAACTCTTCACCGCTGCATTGGAAGACGTTTTCAAGCTTCTGGACTGGAATGGATACGGTATCAACATCAATGGCGAGCACATCACTCACCTTTGATTTACCGACGATATAGTCCTTATGGCAGAATCGCTGGAGGACCTAAGCACTGTGCTCAATGACCTCAATAGTGTCTCCCAACGGATAGGTCTTAAGATGAACATGGACAAAACAAAGATTATGTTTAATGTCCATGTCACACCTATGCCGGTAATTGTTGGGAGCACTAAGCTCGAAGTTGTTGACGAGTATGTTTACCTGGGACAAATAGTCCGACTAGGTAAGTCCAACTTCGACCGAGAGGTCAATCGACGGATTCAACTCGGCTGGGCAGCGTTCGGGAAGCTACGACACATTTTCTCGTCAGACATACCTCAAAACCTTAAAACGAAATTGTACAACCAGTGCGTGTTGACAGTGATGACTTACGGAACTGAGACGTGGTCCTTTACAGCTGGCCGTATAAGGAAGCTCAAGGTCGCTCAGCGAGCTATGGAGAGGGCTATGCTCGGAGTTTCTCTGCGTGATAAACTTAGAAATGAGGATATCCGCAGTAGAACTAGAGTAACCGACATAGCCTAACGGATTAGTAAGCTGAAGTGGCAGTGGGCCGGCCATATAGCTCGAAGAACCGACAACCGATGGGGAAGAAAGGTTCTCGAGTGGCAGCCTCGTATCGGTAGGCGAAGTGTAGGGCGACCCCCCACGAGATGGAGTGACGACCTGATAAGGCATGCAGGAAGTCGATGGATGCAGGTGGCTCAGGACCGTGTTTTGTGGCATTCCTTGGGGGAGGCCTATGTTCAGCAGTGGACTTATGTAAGGCTGTAATGATGATGATGATGATGATTCCCTTCCACGATTAAATATTATTTTATATGAATAGATTTCCTTAAAAAATAATTTTTCGGGAATTATTAGTCTAATTTGCCGTTTCCGAAAAGTAAATTTTGTCATTAGTCAATCGTGAAAAATATTTTTAAAATATTCTTTAATCAGCTGTGATAAGTATTAATGAAACTCATACTTATACTTACGTTACGTAATTATATTTGATAGAAAAACAAGAAACAAAAGTTATTTTTAGCTAGTTAAAACTAACACATATTGCTTTAGACTTTGACTTACCGTATAATATAAAGATTTACTAGACAAATGTTCTCAAATATTCCGTAGTATTTTGATAACGTCATCTTAGAAAATTTAAAATTAAACCTTACCTTGAACTTTTCCTATTAATTGAGATATACTTCTAAAAATATTGTTTTATTTAATTATTGTATTATACAATATTCTGCGCTTAAAGATGTAATCACAGAAATAACAAGATTCTCATATACCGCCACTATAAAAGCGAACATTGTATAGAGCCTTCATCATAGGACTGGGACTAATTCGAATGAATTTTAATAATCCTGACATGCATTACTGAATCAAGAAGCAACTTCCCACGCTGATGGCGGTTTGATGAATTATAATAATATTTTAAAGTGCGTGGTCAATATAAATGACGACTAGGATGAAAAATGGATGTATTTTTCCACACAAACAGCAAGTATATAATTAAGTCATTCAAAATTGCTAAGCTTTATCGGTGAAGTCATTCACAGTCGCAGAAGTTGTAGGCTGATTAATCGTAGTCGCTTCCCGAAGTCGAGCTCACTTTCACGTTTCCTAAATAATTAATTCTCCAAATACCTGCGCACGCATTTATAACCAATAAAATAAATGTAGAACACTCTAGGTCAATCCGGGTCATTCTACCCTTTCAAAGCAATGGTAATAGAATACTTGAGATTACATATATATAACACTTTGTCTAAAAGAGAAAAGGCTTTATAAAAGATGATGACTGATGATTGCGTCTTGCTTCTATCAATAGTTCGAGCATTGTCTATTTTTATGCCTACACATTTTATTAACTTCACAGAGGCTATTGCCTCTATATTCGGGAATGTTCTCGTGCAACATCAGACAACAAGCAAATAACTATCGTAACAATATTATTAAAAGAGGAATCATAAAAATCAAATATAGGCAAAACAAATATAATTTCTTAGATATGGTTCAAAGTCACTGATCTTTTATCTTTATTATCATCCTTTTACTTTTCTTTATTATTCTTGTTTTTGGACCACCAATATAAGCTTGAACGATCTCGTGATCTCTGTCATATAGCAATATACCCAATCGTATATCATTACCTTATCACCACAGCCCTTTACTAGTCCACTGATGAACATATCGTAAATGCCAGATGTAAAATAACCAACAATTGGGAGCAGCGTCAAAGTAAAGAAACAACTGGTACTGCGATCTTCAATCCACCTACGGAGATTGGTAATAAAAAAATAAAAATTGAATCTAATGTAAAGTTTTTCTGTAATTTCCTTAAAGTAGTTTTTCTTAGATGAACTATTGGCGCTATACCCACTGGGAATATTTAAGTGTCCTAACTCCTTTTATATAAACATACTCGGACATTGTGTACTACGACTAGTCTCGACCTAATAAAACCTGATGATACGAAATGGATCTCTTTTAATAAAACTTCAAACCCTTTTGGTTTTTAAAAACTAAAACTGTGTTTTCTCATTTTATCTTTATCATCATCTAATCCAAATCCACTGCTGAAGGTAGGCTTCTCTGAATTAATGCCACAAAGCACGCTCCTGAACTACCTGCACCCATCAACTTCCTTCATGACTTATCTGGTCATCATTATATCTAGTCCGCTCTAAAACCCACTTACCAACACAAAGCTGCTCTTCACGTAGTAATGGATAGATATTCACTAAAACAAAACCTATTAAGGACTTGTTTGGTAAGAATATGTCTCGTTCGGAAAAAAATTAAAAAAATGTGTTGAAATTAGGAAAATGTTTGAGAACAGTTTTACTGAATTTTATAAAATCGAATATGTTATTAAAAATACTTTAACTAATTTTACATTATACATTCCTTGGAACATTCTTTTGGATGTAAACCTTAATTATAATTTGGCCGTGTATTGGCAGCGTAAGATAATCCATTGCCCCAATTTTCTCATATTTTGATTGGTAGTTATGGAAAATGGTGACATATATCAACGTCAAAGGCATGAGACGTCTAGTACTGCGAAAGCCTATCCGCTTGCCAAGCATAAGAAAAATACTTACCAAAACGGAATAGTTCCATATCAAGCAATAGATTTTTACAAGCCAATGAAGATGATAAAGTATAAATAGTCTTTTTGTAAATCGCTGACTATTAACAACGCATCAACTCCACATTCTTCTGAACATAATCGTACGTACGTGTGTCACGTACGTACGTGATTGAGCCATGCTGCAACTATATTATATTGTAGCACGATGGGTCGGCTCGACCGGGGAAGGACCACGCTCTCACAGAAAACCAGCGTAAAATAGCAGCTTCACGCTGCTGTGTTTCGTATGGTGAGTGTAGAGAACCGGAGACCCTTTTTACTGGCAAAAAGGCATTCCATCTTAGTCCTCACGGGTGACAACGCATCTGCATCTTGAGTCTTTATTGAGGATAGATGTAGATGTCTATGGGTCACAGTAACCACTTACCATCAGGTGGACTGTGTGCTCGTTTGTCACCCGATCCTATAAAAAAAAACAAAGCATCATAATATTGCAAGCATTAAGCGCAAAGCAGGTAGGTATGTTCTAGTAGTGCCTAAAAATCAAGATTCCAACGGTCTGTCGCATAAAATCGTATCTATATTGATCATATAAGTGATATAATAACACATTGTCAGAAAGATAAATGATTGTTGAACTTATTAATATTTTTTTAAATCGATTAAATGGTGTAGATTTATCAAGTCCGCATGGAGGGGGTAACCGCGATAACTTTTGAAAATATCAATTGTTTAACTCAATCTATTTTGTACAATTTTTTCATCTATCATGTGGGAAGCCTTGGAATGTAAATGGCAGTTTAATTTTATATTGTTTAGTTAAAATATTTTTTTTTCTGCTGAGTAATTTCGAAATATTCGGTGTTTTGAGCAGCCTTGTAATAATTTATTTTATTAAATACACTTTGCTCTGCCTAACTCCGCGCTTGGCCGCTGTCTTGAGTGGATTACTGTATTGTTTGCTTATAGCAGCGGTAATAGACAACAAAAATATGGACCGCTTTAGATATAACTACAATATTCCAAAAACTAAATTTGATACATAGTTGACCGAGGTTATTATTTTTATAATCACAGATTTTTATTACAATATTTTGTTTCGCTAAAAGTACGTAGGATTTGTATATAAATATATTTATACGTACCGGCAGGCGAAGTGTAGGGCGTCCCCTCATTAGATGGAGAGACGACCTGGCGAGACATGCAGGAAATCAATGGATGCAGGTGGCTCGTGACCGTGCTTTGTGGCATTCCTTAAGGGAGACATATGTTCAGCAGTGGACTTGTGAAGGGCTGTAATGGTGATGATGATGATGATACGTCTTGAACATTATGAAGTGATCTGAAGGTGTACTTCGGTGAATGCTACTGGAACTGCTCGAAGAGTAGAACTAGGTGTGCCGAGTTTGGCCTCGTTTTGTTAGTTATGATGAGACCTTACCTCCGGTATATAGAATGACCTGAAAGTGTTTATATTCTAGCACCAATTTTAATATTTTTTTCATTTTCCTTTTAATTGTGACTAGTGATCTACTCCGGCTTCTATCGAGTGATTTCTAAATCTCGACAACAGCTCCGCCTACCGAGTCTAATTGTGAATTGAAACCAACTAGCACAATTTTTTTTATCAGAATCGGGCCAGCCAGTTTCGAGTTTTAGCGAGCGATTGATTTTTATTTACAGAGTTAAATTACCAATTTATTAAATAGGATATGTTTAGTATTATTTACTAATTTATTCAACGTCAAAAGATAAGTGTAGACTTGTAGACGGGCCGCATTCAAGAAGTATTTTTGAAGGAATGATGATACAAATATAAAAAAGGTATTTTAAACTATATATACAAGTTGACAAGCAAACAAACACTATTATACTTGCTAATATTTTGTTACATGTGGTATTAAGTATTAGGTCTTATGTGCATGTCCAAAAACGAACTTGATATATTTTAATTTACTTGTATTTACTTGAATGCATTTTCTTTGCGCCATGTCAAATACCATTATGAGTCACGCCAATGTAACAACCAACACCACAAAAATGTTTCGCAAGAAATCATGTGTTTAAGATAAATTAAATAAGAACTCCTTTTTTTATAGTATAGGGGTGACAAACGAGCACACAGCCCACCTGATAGTAAGTGGTTGCTGTGGCCCATAGATATCTGCATCTATCCTCGATTACGAATCAAAATGCAGATACGTTGTCACCCGTGAGGACTAAGATGGAATGCCTCTTTTCCAGTAAAAAAGGTCTCCGGTTCTCTACACTCACCATACGAAACACAGCAGCATTAAGCTGCTACTTCACGCTGGTATTCTGTGAGAGCGTGGTCCTTCCTCGGTCGAGCCGACCCATTCGTGCTACAACTATATCAGTAATATAGCTGCAGCATGGCTCTACCACGTAGTTTAAATAAAACTAATTTTACGGATTTTATCGCGTATATTAACTTATTATATGTTCCCGGCGTTTCGGGCACTTTTCAGCACCCATGGTCACGGGGGGGACTGAGGTGTATGATATCCCAATGTCATAGTTAACCACGGCTACCTTCAGATTAAAAATTATTAATTTTTGTTCCGATCTACGCAGTATGAACTTACAGTATCATGAAGTCTTGCAGTTGTATGCTTGGGTTGGGATTTAATTTTATTAATTATGGGATCCCAAGCAGATAGTAGCACCCAGCCATCTTCTCTATTGAAATTAGGATGTTTTTTAGCCTCGCGAATCATCCTGGGGAGGAATCGGTGTTTTTAGTGAGGATTTGTGGTCTATCGAATCTAATGTAGTGACGGGGGCGATCCTGTACGTGTTCACAGACTGCAGACTTCCCGGAACGTCGATTCTTCACATCAGCTATGTGTTCTTTAACACGGGTTTTATGGATCTTTTAGTTTGTCCTATATAAGAGAGACCACATTAGTTTATTAGACCTTATTAGTTTCCATCTTCATGTAAACTTTGATAACATATGGATTATAAAGCTAGTTTCTAATGTCCAAGGTCAACTCTTAACAGATTTAATAGATCTTAAAAAAAGAGTTAGTTTTGAATTTCGTTTATTTACTATACAGTTTACATATTAATCCAATAAACAATATAACAACGTAAAAATATGACAGTGTGCATTAGTTAAAACGAATAACAAGAAAAATGTAAGACAGATGCTATGCCCCACTTCCTTTTTATGGCAAATATTATTGCGCGTGCGTGTTCCATTAATAATCGATTATTTAATTAGGTTGTGTAACTGATTACTCATTGTGGTGTAGTTATTAAAAGCTTATCTACTGGACGGGGCGTTCGTAGGTATTGATTCGCCCTCAGCATGGTAGCCCTTCTCATCAGCGCTGTAGTTGATGGTCTCAACTTTGCCGTCGTCATCAGTGTAAGAGTAGGAACCGCGAACAACGATGACAGTGTGGGTCTTATTTTTTTCATCGAGGGCCTCCTTCAGTTCACCGTTTTCGTCGCGGTTAATGCCGTTCTCAGTCTCGAAGCTAAAGCAAATAATCAATATCAAAATTACAATCACTAAACACCGTTTAACTGGTACCTGTACTTCAGATATACACTAAATTTCAAATATTTAAATATCCAAAGTCCAGATATACTAATTGACACAGAATAGCATGTAAGATGCAATAAGTCTCTAATGATGTCCTTGTGATCGGTTTATCCCACTTTGATAATCTTCAAATACATCCGCAGGAGTATTACCACTAACCACACGTGTTCGATCTAGCACAGAGGCTTACATTCTTCTCATTTTATTTAATAAAATTATATTTATTTTCATTATATGTGGATAACGGTTACGTGTCAAAAACCTTTTATTAATGATAAAAAATAATATAGAAAATGAGTGACACAAAATAAAGCGTGAATGAATATGAACTAGATAGGCATAAAGAAATTAGATTTTATTTCTTTCATTATAATGGCATAATCATTTGAGCGTATTTTAATCCACTTATAAAATATTTTACTTATTAACCTGAATGACTTTTTTCGTGGCAATAATAATAAGTCATTCAATAAAGTAATAAATAACATGAAGTATACAAATGCAAATAATGCAAGGCTGTAAAGTAGTAAAAAAAATTATGTTAATTTACCTGAAGACGTATTCACCATTGGGTTGTTGGTCGTAATCAGAGCGAATAATCTTTATTGGTTCTACTGGAATCGTCGTTGATTCTAATCCGTTAACTTCGTTAACTGGAACAGCGTAGGCGACGGCCACAAGGGCGAGGGTGACAACAATCATCTGCAGATTAAGTTATAATTAATGGCGAATAAACTATGAAAAATTAAATTGTCAACTTTGAATTAATAAGGCACCTACAACGTACCATTTTCATGTTCAAAGAGTTTGGTTTTCTTGCTACCAGATGAGCGACTGATGCCTAAACGCTCGAAGCAAATACTTTTATACATTTCTTCCGGCTTCGAATGTAATGTCGAACTCCAGCAACCACATATTGTTGATTTTCCGGCTCCTTGGATTCATAATTGATTCAGTGATCACAAACCAAAATGTTTGCATATGTGTGCCAACTAATTATTAAGTATTTGACAAATCAATGTGTGCAGCACGCGTTCACGCAGCAATTTGAAGGTTTTATTATCTCATATTTACTTAAAAATTTGTCCCAATATACTTTAACGCGTAACGTGAAAGAGAAAAATTATTATTTTTGCCATAGTTTTCCTTGTACAATTGCCTTTCATTTTTTATAGCCCGGACAAAGAAATTGACAAACAGACGGGCAGAGGAATAAACGAAAATTTTAAAAATGGTTCTTTATGTTTTATTAGCATGGAAATAACCCCTGAGCTTAATAGCAGCCAGTTATTTCAATAGTACAGACAGACACTTCAACTTTATTTATATGTATAGATTAGAGGGACCACAGGATAAACCAATGCTAAGCCTTTCATTAGTGAAGTAAAGTGAAGAATTACAAGGAAAGTGTTTTTGGCTTTGTCTTGACCCACTTGTGGGGTTTTCGCAATGGGACCATAAAGAAATCTATTGTCGTGGAATTCCTTCTTAGATAAGAAAATGGTTCGTCACCCAAAAATTATTAATTTGATCAATTAAACTTCTCAATTTACATTATTTTTCGGCCCGTCGTTATGATTGTGTTATAGAAATACATATTGTGTATATAATTGTATACGTCTCCTGTTGCATTTGCTGGTTAATTTAAGAAAACATTCATCGTAGCTTGAATTCGGCTTTGAGCTCGTATAATTAATTAACTTTAGTTTTTTTGTTGAAAAATGTTAACTTATATTAAAATCTACACATAGCTCGTTTCGTATCTAAATAGGATTTTCACCATCGCGTTGCATGTTTTGGAGATTTTGAATTATTAAATACTAGCGGCATATTTAATTACTATCAGAATTTTACGACTCTTGTGATTATAAGAAAGAGAATCCAGTTGTCACTACGCAAGTTAGGCAGTTGGCTATCGTCGTTTCAAATACCCCACTAATAAAAGCTACTTCTAGTAACCGGTATTCTTAAAATACTGAAGAAAACTAAAACTTGTAAATAGATTTAAAAAAAAACATCATTAAGTATGTTTTTAACATCACCGTAATGGATTTCTGTGACGTATCGCCTGATTGTATTAATTAGATTTTAAAAGAAAACATCAATCAGATTACATTCTGGAAAGTAATATTAAATACATACTTCTCACAGAATACCAGCGTTAAATAGCAGCTTAACACTGCTGTGTTTCGTATGGTGAGTGTAAAAACCGGAGAAATTTTTACTGGAAAAGAGGCATTATATCTTGGTCCTCACGGCTGACAACGCATCTGCATTTTGATTCGGAAACGAGGATAGATGTAGATGTCTATGGGTCACAGCAACCACTTACCATCAGGTGGACTGTGCTAGTTTGTCACCCTATTTCTATAGTAAAAAAATGACAAACAGTTTTATTTTTCTTTCATTTGAAATCAGATTTCTCGCTACTTCATATGCTTTCGGATTTAACTATCCATACTCAATTGAAAAATTGAGCCTGCATAACCTAGCGTCGTCAGAGCACAGTCAGAGTCTAGTCAGTTAAAAGATAGGCTGCGCCCCGTGCAGCCAGGTTAACATTTGAAGAAAATATTAAAAGTACTAAATCTAAATTGACGGCTCCGTGGCACAGTGGCTTAGCAATGAGTTTCAGCCCTAAAGGGCCGCGGGTTCGAATCCCGCACGGTACCAATATTTTTATTGCCTATAAATAATTGTTCCATGGATGTTTGTCCTAGTGCAATTTATGTTTTTAAACTGTCTCCACGATACAAGAGAAAATCCTAGTGTAGGTGTAACGTTTTTTTTTATTTTTCAATAAATATAATAAAAAAAGCCAAACCGAAAATTTGAAAAGTTTTATGTGTTTAGAATTCATGCGCTATGAACCTTCTGTACAGCTATGCTTGCGGTGTCTTAACTCCGCCTTAAAAATATATTGTTGAATGTTGTAATAGGCTCGTTAATATTTGGTGAGATCAATTTGATTAAAATAATGACATCATGTAGGATGTATGATGACATCACGTATGATTTTTGTTTATTTATTTACTTATTTAACAATCTATGTACACACAAACAACATGAAGAGTTTGTACGAGGGCAATATTACTTATTTCATAATGAAATTTCTTTCAGTAGGCCAGTTACAAGATATATGATAAATAAAAGATAAGGTGTGCAATTTGTTATTAAATTAGTAACACATAAAAGCATAAAATAAATAAATTACAATATATACTCATAGTTAAATATATTTAAATAATTTATATAGTAAGAAGATTGGAGTAAATAAAATTTTAAATTTTGTACAACCGACTTCAATATAAATTATTAAAAATAACTCAAAAACTATTGGTCAAACCTTGATCATATCGAAATCGGTTTGCCCTATAAATAGTTATGAGGTAACACATATAAAAAAAACCTACAGTCGAATTGAGTACCAGTACGGCTCCTTTTTGAAGTCGGTTAAAAAAGTATAGAAAATATCAAAGACATGAAACCTACATTGAAGACAGAGATAAATAATGTTCTTTTACTAGTTTTTTGAACAATGTTATTATTTGGATTACTTGTATGGAAGGAGGAAGTGAACTCTTTCTGCATGTACAGAGAATTAATGAAATTTAAGATATAGTTTATAAAGTTTTGAGTTGAGACCTACAAGCATCTGGGGATTTAAGAAATGTTAAACGATTGATGACGTCATTATTTAACCATCTAGTGGCAGTGTAAAACTACCCCATTTTGTACTATGGGCGTCGTAAGAAGCGACAGAGGGGAATGGAACAGGAGATGGGTAGCAGCGTCTTCCTAATAACAACTCGAAATAATAAAAACCTGCGGTTGTGAAACCGCTTACCAGGTCTACTTTACCTTACTTACCGCTTACTAGGTTACCGCCTATGAAGTAATGTCTAAGGGCATATGTTTAACAGTTTTTCAGAATTAAGATTCAATCCACCTGCCAAACTTGGCAACTATGGCAAATATTAGCCACGTCAGTAAAGGCCTTTGCTTAGCAGTTTACTTGACAGAGTTTGACAGGTTGTGACGGTAACGATAACGAAAGTGCTAAAGCATTTTCTTTTATATAGGATAGGGTAATAAACGAGCACACAGTCCACCTGATGGTAAGTGGTTGCTGTGACCCATAGACATCTAAGTTTATCCTCAACGAAGAATCAAAACGCAGATGAGTCGTCACCCGTTAGGACTAAGATGGAATGCCTCCCTTCCAGCAAAATGGGTCTCCGGTTCTCTACACTCACCATACGAAACACAGCAGCGTCAAGCTGCCATTTTACGCTGGTATTCTGTGAGAGCGTGGTCCTTCCCCGGTCGAGCCAACCCATTCGTGCTACAATTATACTACTAATAAAGCTGCGACATGGCTCTACCACGTAAGCTAATTGAAGATAGTATCATATAAATATCTGGCAAAGAATTGTTTAATTTCGGTTTGACTGCCTCCTTTGTTAAGTAGTCTTTAAAACTTTTTCTGTCTACTGGCAACAGAAGACCAATTTATTGCTTACTTTTTTCGCAAATTTAATAAAGTTTTACGTAGTAGAGCCACTCTGCACCAATATTATAGTTGTGTCAGGAATGGGATGGTTCAATCGGGGTAGGACCACGCTCTCACAGAATACCGGTGTATTCCGTAAGGTGAGTGTAGATAACTGAAGTCCCTTTTTATTGGAAATGAGTTATACGCATGCAGATATTGCAATGGGCTGAGTAGACAATAACGGGCGAGCCTTCGCTAATAATTTTGGATCCCACATCAGTCCTGTGTCCATGTGTAAACCGGCATCACCGAGCTGTGGTGAAATATTTTAAAGACCATATTCTACACTACAAATAAGTTTGCGCGTTTACCGCTAAAAAAAACCCCTTTGTCGTATCTCCTCAGTTTCAAGGCACTCCCCTTCTTTCCTCAGCCAGTATCGGAATCCTCGGAGTCAACATATCTAGCGACGTGCAGTTTCGTGGTCACTTGGAAGAGAAGGCCAAATTGGCATCTAAAAAGCTTGGCATGCTCTGCAGAGCGGGACAGTATTTCATACTGCCACACCGCCTGCAACTTTACAAGGCGCAGGTTCGGCCTCACATGGAATACTGTTCCCATCTCTGGGCAGGGGCTCCCCAGTGCCAGCTCCTTCCACTTGACCGCATCCAGCGCAGAGCGGCTCGAATCGTCGACGATCGAGTCCTTTCCTATCGGCTCGATTCATTGGCACGGTGAAGAGATGTTGCATCCCTTTGCATTTTCTTTCGCATCTACCACGGGGAGTGCTCTGAGGAATTGTTCGGATTAATCCCAGCCGCCAAATTTCCCGAACGCACATCGCGGCAGAACTCCCGATACCATCCACACCATCTGGATGATTGGGGGTGTGGGCGGGTTACCATTAGCGATTTTTCCGGAGCGATGCGACTTAGGGACCTTCAAGAAAAGAGCGTACTCCTTTTTAAAAGGCCGGCAACGCATCTGCAATTCCCCTGGTGTTGCGGTTGTTCATGGGCGGCGGTAGTAACTTACCATCAGGTGAGCCGCATGCTCACCTGATGGTAAGTGACCTTTTAGGCTCCCTTTTTGCATCCAACTCGACTCTTGATGACCATCCCGCGGTGTGAGTGCTCCATGCCGGATGTGCTGTTCTCACAGCACTCGGTTCGCAAAGCACTGCTCTCCCTGGACATCCAGAAGTCGA